TTGATGGTGGAGTAGGGTTTGAATTTTATTGCCCGGCCCCCATGCAATGCTCTTAAGGAAGGGTCACAACACACTAAGCTTGCTGAGAGAACACACAAGCCTCTTCAAGAGAAGCGTTCAGGTTTGAGACAGGGAACAACAGTCTTCTCAGAAGAGCTGTAGGTAGAAAGACCCTGCTCGGGTTTCCAGGTTCACTCCCTGCCAACTCCAGTTAAAGCAGAAATGGGGAACCTGTGGCCCTCTGGATGATGCTGAACTGTGACTTCCATATGCCCTACTCAGAATGGCCAAGGGCTGAGGGATAAGGGGAGTTGTAGTCCAACAATGTCTGGTGGGCCAGAGGTTCTTCATCCCCAGCTAAAGATCTCAAGTATTGGAAAGACCCATTGGCTGAGACACTGGAAAGCTACTACCAACCAGAAAAGGCAATACTGGGCTACATAGACCAATGGTCTAAGTATAAACCTGCTTCATGCGTTCAGGATCAATGCTAACCAAGGATTGGAATCCTCCGTCTTCCTTACCCATGGATCTGGTACTTTTGCACCTACATCGCAGCTGATTTTATTTCAAGCCCGAGTTTAGTTCACTTAACAGAAAGTTGGATGTGAACCTGGGAGATCTGGATTCGAACTGCCCATTTAGTCATGACTATAAGAGGTAGCCGTAGGCAAGTCAGTCTCTTGAACTAAGTTCCCAGTCTGTATAATAGGAATAATGTCTACTGGGATTATTAAGGGAAGAAATGATATCATCTGTATCAAATAAACCAAATGCTTAAAACACCACATAAATTTATACTAGTGATTTCAACCAGGGTAGCATCCCCTAACATCAATAAGAAACAGAATTTCCATTGTAGTAACCAGGCAAGGGTGGCAGGTGTGTGTGGTGCTACCTGCTAACAACATGTAGAGTTCTGCCAGCTTTGGCTGGAGATGGATGGCAGCGCTGATGAAGTGGAACGCAGAGGCATACTGCTGCATTGTCAGATGGACGAGGCCAAGGTTGTACAGAATCTTCCAGTCAAAGGGAGCAAGGTAGTTTGCTCGTTTCAGGCAGCTGATGGCCTGCAGGGGGAAATGGCTCCGTTCAATAAGAGAGAAGGCAAAGGCATTATGAAATGGCTGCTTTAGGGGTAGAGGCCAAGGGTACAATTTTTTTGATCCTTCCAAATAAAAACGCCTCTCAAAAGAACTTCATTCATTTATTTTATTATTTATTAAATTTGTACGCTGCCCTATACCCATAGATCTCAAAGAGGTCCAAAACACACAAAAAATTTAAAAAATACAAAGCACAGAATATATAATAAAAACAAAAATTCAGTGGTGCCCCGCAAGACGAATGCCTCACAAGACGAAAAACCCGCTAGACGAAAGGGTTTTCCGTTTTTGAGTTGCTTCGCAAGAAGATTTTCCCTATGGGCTTGCTTCGCAAGACGAAAATGTCTTGCGAGTCTTGCGATTTTTTTCACTCCCCCCCCTTTTTTCTAAGCCGCTAAGCCGCTAATAGCCTTTTAGCCGCTAAGCCTTTAATAGCCGCTAAACCGCTAATAAACGCCCCTTCATGGATCACTGCCTTGCCGTGGCGAAGGGGCTTGAAGAACTCAGAGAAGCTATGAACTACGCCGAGCAGGGCACACAAGATGAACAAGTCATAGTGGAGAGTTTTGACCAAACGTGATCCACCTGGAGGAGGAACCGGCAAGCCACTCCAGTATCCTGCCAAGAAAACTCCATGGACAAAGACAACAGGCATATAAAAGTTATGACGCTGGAAGATGAGCCCCTCAGGTCGGAAGGCGTCCAACATGCTACTGGGGAAGAGCGGAGGGCAAGTACAAGTAGATCCAGAGCTGATGAAGCGGCTGGGCCAAAGCCGAAAGGACGCTCAGTTGCGGATATGCCTGGAAGCGAAAGGAAAGTCCAATGCTGTAAAGAAAAATATTGCATAGGAACCTGGAATGTAAGAACCATGAACCTGGGTAAGTTGGAGGTGGTCAAAAATGAGATGGCAAGAATAAATATTGACATCCTGGGCATCAGTGAACTAAAATGGACGGGAATGGGCGAATTCAGTTCGGATGACCATCACATCTACTACTGTGGGCAAGAAACCCGTAAAAGAAATGGAGTGGCCCTCATAGTCAACAAAAGAGTGGCGAAAGCTGTACTGGGATGCAATCTCAAAAATGATAGAATGATCTCGATACGAATCCAAGGCAGACCTTTTAACATCACAGTAATCCAAGTTTATGCACCAACTACTGGCGCTGAAGAAACTGAAATTGACCAATTCTATGAAGACTTACAAGACCTTATAGAAGTGACACCAAAGAAGGATGTTCTTCTCATTATAGGGGATTGGAATGCTAAAGTAGGGAGTCAAGAGATAAAAGGAACAACTGGCAAGTTTGGCCTTGGAGTTCAAAACGAAGCAGGGCAAAGGCTAATAGAGTTCTGCCAAGAGAACAAGCTGGTCATCACAAACACTCTTTTCCAACAACACAAGAGACGACTCTACACATGGACATCACCAGATGGGCAGCATCGAAATCAGATTGATTATATTCTCTGCAGCCAAAGATGGAGAAGCTCTATACAGTCAGCAAAAACAAGACCTGGAGCTGACTGTGGCTCAGATCATCAGCTTCTTATAGCAAAATTCAAGCTTAAACTGAAGAAAGTAGGAAAAACCACTGGGCCAGTAAGATACAATCTAAGTCAAATCCCTTATGAATACACAGTGGAAGTGAGGAACAGATTTAAGGATTTAGATTTGGTGGACAGAGTGCCTGAAGAACTATGGATGGAGGCTCGTAACATTGTACAGGAGGCAGCAACGAAAACCATCCCAATGAAAAGGAAATGCAAGAAAGCAAAGTGGCTGTCCAACGAGGCCTTACAAATAGCGGAGGAGAGAAGGCAAGCAAAATGTGAGGGAGATAGTGAAAGATACAGGAAATTGAATGCAGATTTCCAAAGAATAGCAAGGAGAGACAAGAAGGCCTTCTTAAACGAGCAATGCAAACAAATAGAGGAAAACAACAGAATGGGAAGAACCAGAGATCTGTTCAAGAAAATTGGAGATATGAAAGGAACATTTCGTACAAAGATTACCATAATAAAGGACAAAAGTGGTAAGGACCTAACAGAAGCAGAAGACATCAAGAAGAGGTGGCAAGAATACACAGAGGAATTATACCAGAAGGATATGGATGTCTCGTACACCCCAGGTAGTGTGGTTGCTGACCTTGAGCCAGACATCCTGGAAAGTGAAGTCAAATGGGCCTTAGAAAGCACTGCAAATAACAAGGCCAGTGGAAGTGATAGTATTCTAGCTGAACTATTTAAAATTTTAAAAGATGATGCTGTTTTAAGGTGCTACACTCAATATGCCAGCAAATTTGGAAAACTCAGCAGTGGCCAGAAGATTGGAGAAGATCAGTCTACATCCCAATCCCAAAGAAGGGCAGTGCCAAAGAATGCTCCAACTACCGCACAATTGCACTCATTTCACACGCTAGCAAGGTTATGCTTAAAATTCTACAAGGAAGGCTCAAGCAGTATGTGGATCGAGAACTCCCAGAAATGCAAGCTGGATTTAGAAGAGGCAGAGGAACCAGAGACCAAATTGCAAACATGCGCTGGATTATGGAGAAAGCTAGAGAGTTCCAGAAAGACATCTACTTCTGCTTCATTGACTATGCAAAAGCCTTTGACTGTGTCGACCACAGCAAACTATGGCAAGTTCTTAAAGAAATGGGAGTGCCTGATCACCTCATCTGTCTCCTGAGAAATCTCTATGTGGGACAAGAAGCTACAGTTAGAACTGGATATGGAACAACTGATTGGTTCAAAATTGGGAAAGGAGTACGACAAGGCTGCATTTTGTCTCCCTGCTTATTTAATTTGTATGCAGAATACATCATGCGAAAGGCTGGGCTGGATGAATCCCAAGCTGGAATTAAGATTGCCGGAAGAAATATCAACAACCTCAGATATGCAGATGACACAACCTTGATGGCAGAAAGTGAGGAGGAATTAAAGAACCTTTTAATGAGGGTGAAAGAGGAGAGCGCAAAATATGGTCTGAAGCTCAACATCAAAAAAACGAAGATCATGGCCACTGGTCCCATCACCTCCTGGCAAATAGAAGGGGAAGAAATGGAGGCAGTGAGAGATTTTACTTTCTTGGGCTCCATGATCACTGCAGATGGTGACAGCAGCCACGAAATTAAAAGACGCCTGCTTCTTGGGAGAAGGGCAATGACAGGCCTAGACAGCATCTTGAGAAGTAGAGACATCACCTTGCCAACAAAGGTCCGTATAGTTAAAGCCATGGTTTTCCCAGTAGTGATGTATGGAAGTGAGAGCTGGACCATAAAGAAGGCTGATCGCCGAAGAATTGATGCTTTTGAATTATGGTGCTGGAGAAGACTCTTGAGAGTCCCATGGACTGCAAGAAGATCAAACACATCCATTCTTAAGGAAATCAGCTGTGAGTGCTCACTGGAAGGACAGATTGTGAAGCTGAGGCTCCAGTACTTTGGCCACCTCATGAGAAGAGAAGACTCCCTGGAGAAGACCCTGATGCTGGGAAAGATGGAGGGCACAAGGAGAAGGGGGCGACAGAGGACGAGATGGTTGGATAGTGTTTTCGAGGTTACCAGCATGAGTTTGACCAAACTGTGGGAGGTAGTGGAGGACAGAGGTGCCTGGCGTGCTCTGGTCCATGGGGTCACGAAGAGTCGGACACGACTAAACGACTAAACAACAACAACAAACCGCTAATAGCGCTAATCCGCTGAGCCGCTAATAGGGTTGCTTCGCAAGACGAAAAAACCGCTAGACGAAGAGACTCACAGAACGGATTATTTTCGTCTTGCGAGGCACCACTGTAAAGACAACCCAATAATCCCCTCTTCCACAACACATTTAAAAGGGCATTAGATGCCAATCAGCCAAAGGCCTGATTAAAGAAGAATGTTTTCACCTGGTGCCTAAAGGTACACAATGAAGGCACCAGGCGAACTTCCCTGGGGAGAGCATTCCACAGATGGGGAGCCACTGCAGAAAGGGGCTATTTTTGTGTTGCCACCCTCCGTACTTCTCGTGGAGACACACAAAGAAGGGCCTCAGAAGATGATCTCAGGGTCTGGGTAGGTTCATATGGAGAGACGGTCCTCGAGGCATTGGGGTCATGAGCAGTTCAAGGCTTTATATGTCAAAACCAGCACTGATGCTGCTCTCCAGTTGCCAATGCTAGCTAAGACGGAATGAACAAAATCCTGACTGCTTTCATCTTTTCCAAACATCAGTGCAAATAAGACAAAACCCTGCCTCTGTTTGTGCCAAGGGGTAGGTGGGCATTTCTCTCCTTTATGCTGGAGTATGGAGAAGCCAAGAAATAGCAAGAGGAACACCAATGCTATTGAAAGAAATGCCTGCCTCCCCACTTCCAATTCTGCATGCCGGAGGATTGGGGAGAGGGGAAGGAGGGGGTAAAAGACAATCACAAATGGATGCAAATTCAGGAAGGTAATAGGGTAGGCAGATGACACAAAACACACCTACCGCCACATATTTCTTTTTGCCGAAGAAGCACATTCCAATATTGTTCCAGAGCGGGGGGCTTTCAGGAACAGCACAAGCGACCACTCGGTACTTGGTGAGGGCTACGTCAAAGTCTCCATGTGTCTGCATCATGCTGCCAGCTGCCAAGATGGCCTTTTGAACAGAATAAAGCAAAAACCAAATCATAGGGCTTTTCACCACTGTCAATGAGTAAAGAACACGCAGGCATTATCAGAGCAATGACTGGAGACAGGTTTTGCACATCAGGAATACACCCAAAGCCACACATACCTGGAGCCTTGTGGGATAGGCAGGACCAAGGACTAAGAAAGATCAGCCTTCCCCAACATGGTGCCCAGCAGATGTTTTGGACTACAACTAGGGCTGACGAGAGTTGCAGTCCAAAACATGTGAAGAGCGCCAAGAAGGAAACGGTACTTTAGTGACTCTGACCAGCTCATCCAGCTGTTTACTTAGGTTACCATTTTGTGACATTCATATTGATTTTCTTCTGTTTCCGCCAACGATTCAATATATTCCCATCCCCTGAGTTACCTTATAGTTGCTGGGATCATACGTGAGTGCGTTCCCAAGATACTCAAAGGCTTTCTGATGAACCTCGAGCTAAATAAAGGAGGGAAATATCAGTAGAATATTTAAACAACTGAATCACGATACATTTTTCATTGGTTTTTACTCCACGGTCGTAGTTACTTCCTACGCCACATGCAGGTTCTTTAGGAACTGCAACAAACAACCCTCTGAGGTTCATCAAACGCAACCAGGAAGCCACTGCGCACTCTCTAAAGAGGACTGCTGTGCGTCTTTGGCTGACATGCTCTAAATCTGGCTCTCCCATGAGAAAGGACTCAAAAGTCAACCAGCCCCAAATATCACACCCCAGAATTTAAAGCCCTATCATTTCCTCCTGGGAAATCAACACTAGAAACCTAATAATCTTGGGCCATTACTGAGGCTGCTAGGAAATTAAGAAAGCATTTAGATGAGGAAATCCTGCCCAGAGACAAAATGGAGGCCCAAGTTGCATAAACAAGAACCATTTTGGGAGTGAGCTAGGGATTTGGCAGAATTATGGTACAGAGAAAGCTGTTGACTCATGAAACTGTGACATTGCTTATCCCCAGGAAACTTTAAAGCCATTTCTGAATTTGTATCCAATACGCAGTCCTTTCCTATATAGAAAATGCACAAAGCTACTTTTTCCTTCTTCATATACTTGGACTAGCAGGTTATAGAAGCAAAGCCTATCTGCATTCTGCTTTGGCTCAACTGCGTAAGGTAAGTTCCTTCCTGTGAGGATCTAAAGCACATATTTAGAAGAGATAGTCTGGGGCGAACTTTTTGAGAAAAGTCTCAAAGTGGCAATGGGGATGCCTCAACAGGAATGCCATTAACAGCTGCTGGACCAAACTGAACAGCTAACCAATTAGCAACCTCCCATACCTCCAGGTAGAGCAAGCCCAGAGTTGTAAGGAGCTCTGTGTTTTCCGGAGAGAACCTGAAACAAAGAAAAAGAGACCCTAGAGTTTTATGGCGTCTGGTGCCCTCATTAATACATTGTTATGCAAGGGCAGTGGGACGCGGGTGGCGCTGTGGGTAAAAGCCTCAGCGCCTAGGGCTTGCCGATCGAAAGGTTGGCGGTTCGAATCCCCGCGGCGGGGTGCGCTCCCGTTGTTTGGTCCCAGCGCCTGCCAACCTAGCAGTTCGAAAGCACCCCGGGTGCAAGTAGATAAATAGGGACCGCTTACTAGCGGGAAGGTAAACGGCGTTTCCGTGTGCGGCTCTGGCTCGCCAGAGCAGCGATGTCATGCTGGCCACGTGACCTGGAAGTGTCTCCGGACAGCGCTGGCCCCCGGCCTCTTGAGTGAGATGGGCGCACAACCCTAGAGTCTGTCAAGACTGGCCTGTACGGGCAGGGGTACCTTTACCTTTACCTTTTTATGCAAGGGCATAAACGAGTTTCATGCAGAGATGGCCCATGACATTTCTGCACCAGAAGCAGAAGATACAAATGTTCCCCACTATGGTGATAAAAATAAACGACAGTAAATATCGTACAAGTTGCTACCCTTTGATGGTGGTCCAAAATTTGCCACTTGAAGTGATCTGCTTCCTGCGTAATGGGAGGACTAGCCCCAATCTTACATGTGAAGGAGACATTTTATCAGCCTTAAAGAAGGACTACCAAGCCCCCACTGTGTGGCTTGAGCAGAAGACTATGGCAAATGACATGCCGGGCAGAAATATTTTACTTGCTGAAAGCAAGGGGCTCACAGAAAGGCTTAAATACATTTGCCTCTGAAGTATTGCAGGGCTAACACACCCATCCAGCTGCCATTGCTGCATATTTTAATTGTCTGGGGCAGCAAATGCAAAGGAGGTTTCCCCACTCTACCAGAGGTGTTGTTTATATTTTGTTTTTGTTTTTCAATTTACATACTGCACCACAGCAAAGCTCTCTGATCAATTTACATTAAAAGGCCATACAGCTGTTCTTATCGTTCCTGTCGGCTTTGCAGTGCATGGCTGTTTTATGTGCTTTTATGCAATTTGTACTCTGCCCTGGGATCTATTGCGATGAAAGGCAGGTTCTAAATGCACTTATTAAATAATAAATAAATACAAACCGGGGAAGGAATAAAAGACAAATGATTCCTTTTAAAAAAACACACCAAAAAATGAACAAACCTAATTCTATTAGAGGCTATTTGAACAGAACCCCTTTTGTTGGAAATGGGGCTGACATATGCTCCTTGACTCATACTGTGAGAACAGCAGCAGCAGATTCTGTTTCCCCTCATGAGTGCTATGAAAATGCTTGTGTTAGCATCAGAACAGCCTTCAGAAATAGTTTGAAGAAGCTGATTTGCAGGCTGTCACACTGGCTTATAGCCTCGGGGTGGGAGACCTGTGTGAATTCATGCGCTTCAAAGGGACTTGAAAGGTGGGAGCAGTAATCCAAAACTGTGCCTAAGATGGCTGCCTGGGCCACGAGAGAAGACCTTTCTCAACGCTTTCTAGTTCTGTACAATGAGGTTAATTCCTGGTCACAAGACATCTTTCCTAACCTCCACCCCCAACAGAACAAGAGAAGAAAGGCTCTTACTCCACTGCTTTCTTATAGACTTCAATGGCTTTGTCCGTCTGCCCCTCCAACAGGTGGATCTTCCCCAGCATCATGTATGTCAGGTCATGTCGGTTGAGCTCCAGGGCATTATTCAGCTGATCTTTTGCCTGAGCAGAGCACAGAGCGTATTACTCATTTTCAGATATTTATATGCCACTGTTCAGGTGAACTTCATGAAGTGTTTCACACTGAAATGGTAAACCTATATAATAAAACACCAAAGATGAGCGACCAAAAAACCCACCTTTTTGAAAGCTAGATCTCTCCTTAATGAAATTGGCAAAGAGCCAGCCTGAGCACTGGTTCATTTACACTAGGATAGCAAGAGAGAAAAGAGACAAGCGTGTTTCTGCAGCCAGTGGGCTAAAAAATACTTGTAGTCTTTGTGGCTGCAAAAGCCTGAAAGCAGAAGGGCAGTGTTTGGTGGTCATGGTGGGTGACTCAATGACCCAGAAAAATAATGAGCAAATAAGTTTTGAGCTTATGCAACTGCATTGTACGAAGTCAGACCATCCATTGATCTAGCTCAACGGCAGTGGCTTTCCAGGGTTTCAGACAGGAGTTTCTACCACCCTCACCTGGAGATGCTGGAAACTGAAGCTGGGACATTCTACCACTGGGCTGCTGCCCTTCTCGGGCTGAGAAAGTCCAGCTATCTGTATCCCTTTGAACTGGAGATGTCAGGGATTGAACCTGGGACCTTTGGAATGCCAGGTATCTGGTCCCACCAATGGCTAGTTACTCCCTTGCCGCATATATGATGCAGCTACACCCATAGGAGAAAGACAGAAAAGCAACCAAGCTAACACACTCGCCAATGATCTCCCCTTTGGACAACTGTGGATGCCTCACAATTTTAAAAACTCCCCTTGCTTGTTAATTCCTCACTCCCTTTTGCTGGTCCAACTTGAGCTCCTCTGGTGATACTTTTCCTTCTTTCTTTCTTTCTTTCTTTCTTTCTTTCTTCTTCCTTCCTTCCTTCCTTCCTTCCTTCCTTCCTTCCTTCCTTCTCTCTCTTATGGACGGAATATAATTTCTTGCATGAAGCTCTTGGGATAGGCCCTTTTTTCTAACTCTCTCCCTCCACTGCCAAAACAGGTCCTATATATAGTAGACAAGCTAGGAGCAGAGTTCATCTCCTTCCTTTCTTCCCCCTTGAATGCTCTAGCCAAGTGGGCAGTGGGCTCAGCCTCAAAGGTGAGGCTGCATTTGCTTTGCCCCTCCCCCTCCTGTCTTCCTGGGTGCTTTCCCGAGTTAAATAGGCCTAGAAGCACTAGGAAGCCGGAATCTGCGGACTGGCAGGATTGGATGTTACCGAGGCTTTTACAGCTCATCATTCCACAAAATGCTTATCCCAGCACTGAGCCAGGAGGGCTGCTGAACTGCACAAAGGAGCAGAACTGCTCCTCCTGGGCACATTGTTAATCCCCTCCAATGAGAGGCATCGATTGCAATGGCCTCTTTTCCTCCCCTGGGCCCAGCCGGTGGGACTGGAATGAAAGGTTGCAGGTTTTCTCCTCTCTTTTTTTCCAGGCACATTAAAGGAGAGAGATGCTGACAAAGTAAAAAAGAATTATGCAGCCACGGGATATTCATTGCTAAAAAGCTAAAATGCCAGCACATTCTATAGGCTTCATTATATTTTATAGGCCCATGTGACTCGATGCAAGGAAGCAGCATGCTGTATGGTCGGGGCGCAGCAAAGGGGAAATGTGAGAAGGAGGAAATTTCTCATACTAATGGCCCATTAACACCTCAATGCAAATGTTTGTGTGCCCCAAACTGGAGAGAATGGACCATTTTCATGGCTTGCAAGAATCAAACTGGTACATCTTCCTAATTGGTGACAGTAAAGCAAGCTCTGACCTGAGGGCTACAGTATTCTCAGTAAAGACAGCATCGCTATCTTGGATACTTTCTGCAACTGGCTTCATCACTCAAAAACCTTCCACCATCCCTGACCATTGTCCATGCAGACAAGGGCTGATGCAGACATCTGGAGGGCTACAGATGCTAAAGATATGGTGGGAACCAATCAAACAACACATGGAGCCCAGGCATTTTCATGCGATCGTCCGAAAGTCTCCAGGCTACAGCTCAGGAAACAGGTGATGTGCTCGCCAGGTCCGAGGCTCCCTTTCGTGGTACTTCTTACTTCGCCAAACCTTTATTAGGCATTACAAGTACAGGCCATCATAAAACATCCATATATAAAATTTTAAATATGTAAAAATGAACAGCCATGTAAAATGTATAATGACGAGGATTCTTCTAAATCGCTGTCGTGCCGACGACACATGGAATATGGCCTTGCAGGTCATAGTCAGATATTGTCACGGGCTGATTGGATGCAGAGGAATGGTGAGAGGAACCAACTGGGAAAGCCCCAAGGGAGAAAGGCTCAGAGCCGGGGGATTGGTGGCGGGATGACAATGAGTGGTCAGAGGGAGAAGACTGGGGGGAGAAGGTGTCGGAAGCTGGAGAGGTAACAGGGCTCAATGAGTGGGGGTTGTCTGTGTCAGAGAGAAGTCCAGAATCAGAGACAGAGGCTGAAGCAGGAAGAGGGAGGCCAAGAGAGAGAGGTGACTGAGGCTGCTTCAAGGGGGCAAGACCTGCCAGAGATGAGCTGCTGTACTCATTAGGCCTGACGCTCCTCTGCAGATTCTGTTTTTGCTTATAAACGGTTAACCCGTTTATAAGCAAAAACAGAATACTCCTATACTCCTATTGATGCAGCATTGGCTGCATCAATAGGAGTATAGCATCTAGATCAAGGGAAGTAATAGTGCCACTGTATTCTGCTCTGGTCAGACCTCACCTGGAGTACTGTGTCCAGTTCTGGGCACCACAGTTCAAGAAGGACACTGACAAACTGGAACGTGTCCAGAGGAGGGCAACCAAAATGGTCAAAGGCCTGGAAACGATGCCTTATGAGGAACGGCTAAGGGAGCTGGGCATGTTTAGCCTGGAGAAGAGGAGGTTAAGGGGTGATATGATAGCCATGTTCAAATATATAAAAGGATGTCATATAGAGGAGGGAGAAAGGTTGTTTTCTGCTGCTCCAGAGAAGCGGACACGGAGCAATGGATCCAAACTACAAGAAAGAAGATTCCACCTAAACATTAGGAAGAACTTCCTGACAGTAAGAGCTGTTCGACAGTGGAATTTGCTGCCAAGGAGTGTGGTGGAGTCTCCTTCTTTGGAGGTCTTTAAGCAGAGGCTTGACAACCATATGTCAGGAGTGCTCTGATGGTGTTTCCTGCTTGGCAGGGGGTTGGACTCGATGGCCCTTGTGGTCTCTTCCAACTCTATGATTCTAACCCCAACTTGCTTGGTGTGGTTTGCCGCTGGCTTGGTCCTGTCAGATATCAGGATTCTGGAGCATTTCCAGCTAGATTCTTCTACTGTACAACTCCATGAGAGGCAGGTATCTCTGCTCTTCCAGCTTTCCACTCAAAACTCTGACAGCCAATACATGGTGTGAATTTGGTTTAATATGCAGAGGATTCTGCATTTAGGGTCCCATTCAAACAGCAAGTTAATAGGCCTCACGTTTTGCAGAGACTGAGGAGGTCTGGGCTGTTTCTGTCAAACACTCACTAACTATAGGAACATGGGCTAGGTACTCCAGGGGCCATACACGTACATGCTGCTCAGCCGTATATAATTTCCTGTCTATTAACAGCAGTTCTGCACACTTCAATCCTACATCCAAGCCATCTCCAGCCTAATGCCCTCCAGATGTTTTCGACTATAGTTCCCATCAGCCTCAAACAGCATGGTCAATGGTAAGGGTAACGGGCCAATGGCCGTAATAAAGATCAATCAATCAATCAATCAATCAATGGTAAGGGATGATGGACGTTGTAGTGCAACGCATCTTGTGGGCACTAGTCTGGGCAAGGCCGTTATACCCCCACAGCTTCCCTCCAACCACTCCTCTCTGTGTCAGTCCTTGATACCCCACCCACCAAAAAGGCTGATTTCTGCAATTCAAACCCAAATCCTACCAGGTTGTACACAAAGTTGGACACAAAGTAATATTATGGGAAAATTTCAGTTGTGCATAACTTATTTGATAATAATAATAATAATTTATTATTTATACCCCACCCATCTGGCTGGGTTTTCCCAGCCACTCTGGGCGGCTCCCAACAGACTATTAAAAACACGATATGACCGTAGCAGCTGTTTTCGGGAAAAAAAAATATTGTGGTTCTAACATGGAAATGAGAGGCATACTAGGGACCTGTCAGTCATGAAAAGAATCCTTTCCAATGCTTACAAGAACAACCCCCAAGTCCTTTTATCAAGTTGCCCTCTCTGCAACGTATCTGCCACATGCAAGATGCCAATTAGGACTGGAATGTCTTTTCTGCAACTGATATTGTTGGGGCAGCACACTATGAACAAGAGGAAGAGCTGTTGAACTCAACCAATGGCTCTTTTTCTAGAGCTCTACTGCATAGACTTCCTTCATCTCAATTCCATACAGCCACTGAGGGTTCCTTAGGATACAACCCAACCACTTGGACTGTTATTTGTTTGTTTGTTTGTTTGTTTGTCTGTTTGTTTGTTTGTTTGTTTGTTTGTTTGTTTTATTAAAAGTATATCCCACCCTTCACCTAAGAATCACAGGGTGGTTGACAGTATAAAACAGGGTGGAATTGATTTAAATCAAATTGATTTAAATCATGATTTAAATCACAAGTCAGTAAGACTTGATTTAAATCATTTTTTTTACAGAAAGACATACCTGCTGGTATAATCTTAATATTTACAAACAGATGAAGGTTTCATTTTTGGAATAAATTTTCAGAGCAGTTTTTACAGTTATATAAAAATTACTGATCTAGTTATACTATTAGCGTAGCCTTATTGGAGTTCATTCCTTATTGAATGGGGTTTCTTCTTTAGAAACACATAATTATGAAATTATTGTGAGGTTTAATAAGTTAACTGTTTATATTTGGAAGGAGAAAAATAATCATTTCCTTAATAACAATTTCCTTAAAAACCAACTTCGACTGAGTTTCAGCACACATGAAAAACTTAAAACAAATCCTTATTTCCTGATGAATAGCCTTTGGACTATAATGTAACTTAAATAGAAAACTATATTTAGAAAGATTTTTTTTACTCCTAAAGCATTTTATTTAAAAAATCCAATTTAAATAAAAAAAAATCTGATTTAAATTTTAAAAACCTGGTTTTTTAAAAAAAAATATCCAATTTTTATTTTAAAAAAACATAGATTTTTATCCACCATGGTATAAAAATTCAAAAATACACAACATAATAACCAACAAAACAATACCCCCCCCCAGTTTAAAAGACCATAGATTATTTAATGAGCCAAAGGCCTGGGAGAAGAGGAATGTTTTCACCTGGTGCTTAAAGTTATGTAATGAAGGCACCAGGCAAGCCTCCCTGGGGAAAGCATTCCACAAACAGAGCCACTGCAAAAAAATGCCCATTCTCAGGCTGCCACCCCCTGGACCTTTCATGCTTGCCAGACAACTGCCCCCTTTACCTTGTTGAAATGCTTCAGGTGCATGTAGCAGACACCCAAGTTGTGGCAGATCTCCTAGATGTGGGGGGAAAGGGGACATGTGTAAATCCACATGTGATACTTGAGGGGATAGAACCTCTTGTCATTATTGGTCTCAAGCTCACAAGTTGCAAAACCACAGGTTCAATGTGCTCAAAAAAACAGGAATGGAACAATCTATTGAAACATCTCATTTTCTCAGATTGGTAACAAATCATTTCCATTCAGTAGAATATTAACAGTACTAAATGCCCCAGATCTGAGCTTGACAAATCTCTTCATTTACAAATAGCCAAATTCTGGCCTTATTCACACATCACAGTAAACCATAGTTAATAGTTTACCATGAACATGCTGATCTGAGCGGTTTCGCTCATCTCCACTAGTTCATGGGAAGAACAAACCACAATCCCTACTATGGCATTATGTCTGAACTGGGAATTATGATGGGTTTTACTTCAAACAAAGCATGATTTTTTGCTTTCTGACTGACTGGGTGGAACAAAACTACTATGATCTCCAATTAAGAAGAAGAAGAAGAAGAAGAAGAAGAAGAAGAAGAAGAAGAAGAAGAAGAAGAGTAGTTTGGATTTGATATCCCGCTTTATCACTACCCTAAGGAGTCTCAAAGCGGCTAACATTCTCCTTTCCCTTCCTCCCCCACAACAAACACTCTGTGAGGTGAGTGGGGCTGAGAGACTTCAGAGAAGTGTGACTAGCCCAAGGTCACCCAGCAACTGCAGGTGGAGAAGCAGAGACACGAAACCAGTTCACCTGATTAAGAGACTACCGCTCTTAACCACTACACCACACTGGCTACAAAGTTAAGCCAAGAAACATGGTTTGTTGCTGTGGTGTGTTAATGGGAAGCAGCAAAGTGCCCCAGATCTGCATGTTCATTGTTCACAGTAAACCATAAACTATGGTTTATCATGATGTGTGAACTGGGCCACTGTAACTTACTTGGTCTTCCAGAATCAGAAAGAAAAGTTCAATGGATCTGAGTTGTTAGCTTCAGCCATTATGACCAAAGATGCTACAGAAATACAATTAAACTGAAAACCCAGCAAAGATTTAGCCAGACACATCTGTTAATCTTTCTTTTAACAACTATCATTGGAATTCTGCATATAAACCTGATGGATGAGCTTATGCAAGCGGAAAATAAATACCGGGCCCAATATACATTTACATCATGTAATAAGGAAGATAAATTTAGTTATAAGGCTTGTCAGTGTGCCATTTCAACAACAGAGATGCTGTCAGGCTTCTGCAGAAGTCCAAGCCATCTTGAGCACAATTTGAGTACAAAGGCGTGATATGCAATTAACAAATAATTGAACACTAGATTCACCTGGGCAGAGTTCAATGTCTTTTGTGTGCCTGGCAAGGGCATTTTTTTGTTTGGTCAAGCACTTTTCGAGTGTTTAGAGCCTCACATTTTAAGACCTCTGATTTAACATGTCTGGCACTGATATATTCTGGCTGCTTTATCCATGTTAATTGTACTTAGGCTTTTTGCTGCTTCTAAATCTTTGTTAGCTACTCTGAGAGCTCTTGGCTGAAGAGCAGGGTAAGAAATGTGACAAATAAATGAATGGATATGCCTTGGCAGTGATCATTTTGGTGTCTGTTGTGGTAATCCAGCTTGGTACACAATGTTTTGCCTATGCTGATGGCTCTTCTGCGGTGGACTCACCACCCAAGATGCGGCATTCGGTCCAAGAGCGAGTATCAAGCCATGTTTTGTTTTCCTGCTGAATATTAAAGCAGGGAGCCATCTGTGTGCACATCTGGCAGAGACACTAACCAGCGCTTCCTCTGTTTTGATGAACTATGTGGGAAGGTTGTATATTCCTTCCTGTATCATGGAATTTATGAAACAGGTTTATGTCTTCAATGCAACTAGACTCCCAATGGGACTAAGAGCTGATCCACACAGTCACTTTCCCCTATAAAGGAGCAGCCATAGCCGTCCTTGGTCATGTGACTGCACATGATCACAGTGGGAAACATATCCAACTGAGAAGTACACGCAATAGAGGCAGCAGCAATTCCTGCTGTTGCAGGAGCACCTTCTCCACTTGCCACAAGAATCATTAAGGCTGTGTCTGTGTAGACCCAGATTCATATTAACACCTCTCCTCATAAGCTGCATTCCGAGGAGAAGGCTGGTGCTGGAGCTGCTGTTCCTGCACAGAAGAAAGTGCTGCGCAAAACTGACCCATAGGTCAGCCATCGATCTGCAAGTCTCAAATTGAACTCCATTCTATTTACAAGTAGCAAAGAAAACCTTGGGCATACCCAGTCCTTCTCGTTGTATTGGGCCGCATCGTTGTACACTTCAATGGCTGCTTTGTGCTTTCCCAAAAGAAACCTGCAAGAAAATGTCAGATCTTATTTTCCTTACCCTTTCCTCCCAAGGTATCACTGGACCATCAATTGTGTGTCAGTCAGAGGATCAAAGGGAGCTCTAGGGAAGCCTACTGTGCTGTAGAGTCAAACAGAAGAATCCAATACTTGTCCACTATACTGGGGATTCATAGCACGTCACAAGGCCTGTTAAAAGGACTTTATTAGAAGGCTGGATATTCCCTATTTCTTGCTTTCCTAATGCATGGACAGATAATGTCATGTCACATGATATGGATCGTATCTGCCCACTTGGTGCTACCATCTGAGTTTCACAGCTGTTCTTTCTTTTTACAACTCTTTTTAATAACTTTTAAAATGTTATCCACCCTAAAGCTTGGGGGACTGGAGAGGTTTTTAAAAATAGTGACTCCTCTCTCTTTTAAGTGTGTGCTGTGCTAATAGTGCCAGATCAGATAGACATCATTTTTCCTCCGGTGGTGATGGCCACTAGGTTAGACAGCTTTAGCAGACAAATTTGTGGGGGTTAATTAATCGACAGCTAGTAGTAGGAATGGTGGCTGCATGGAAACTCAGAGTTCAAAGGCAGTATGTCACTGAATACCAGTTTCCGGGAGACAGATAATGGAGGCAGGCTGTTGCTTTCATGTCCTACAGGTGTCCAGTTGGTCACTGTTTGAAATAAGATGCTGAATTAGATGGTCTGAGTTGGTCTGGTCCAGCAGGGCTTTTATGTTTTTAAGTGTGTGGACAAGGGAGGGTGTATGATTAAGTAGTTTGCCTATGCAAATATGAAGGCTAACGGGAGTAAAACAGCCTTTGGTAACCCCACTCCCTTCATGCAACACCCAAAATCTGAAGAATAAAATGGCACCTACAGCGATCGCGCCACCTGCTTGAGGTTGTCTGCACTCCGGGGCGTAAGAATAGCACAAGTTTGGAAAAGCTCAAGTGATTCGTGAATCTTCCCTTCCAAGCGAAATATCAAAGCTGAAAAACAACAATGCACAGCATGTTAATCGGGAGTCCTTTCAAGGAAGTAAGCTGCACCCTGGGCAATGCTGAAATGTACAGAAGTGCAGGAGGAGAACCGACCCCCACCAGCTTCCCACCTGAAGCACACAGCAGGCTTTTGAAGAAGGTAGGTCACAGCGGAGCAGAGCTAGCAGCTGGTGGGTTCTGTATCTGGAAACCATGGTGCCATCTGCACCACTGTTCCTTTGTGGTAAGCGTAGCCCATGGGGTAGTTTAGCATTTCTCTGGCCCGCTTGTCCTAAAAGAGCCATAGGATCACTTTTGTCTGTTATCACGGCACAAACTATACGCACCAGCAGTGGCATAATGTGTGCAGCCGCAGCAGACAAAGGCACTTGTTGCAGTGGCAGCAAGGACCACAGTCGATGAAGAGTTCAAAGCTCCAATCCCCGATTCAACTTTCTGCCATGGATTTTAGCATCCGACACAGCAACAAGGAAACTATAGAAGCTGTCACATCTTTATCCTATAATGGTAAGTTCTGCCTTATGTCCCATACACGGGCGGTAAAAATGTAAAAACAGCAAATGTTGCATTTCTACTAGCTCCAGTAGGTATGACCCCATATAGCCTGGACAGAAGAACTGTACATAAGTTGCTCTAAGCTGCTCAGGGGAGAAGAATGGCCTAAGGGTAAGATAATAATAAATTCATAATAGGAGTGCAATAAGTGTTGAATGTTTGTATTGCTGATTTATTGTAATTTTTTGTATCGTATGCCGTGTGCCATTTGGTAGAAAATGTAGCTAATGAACAACTAAAATAAATACCACCAGTTCTCAGAATCCTGCAGTAATCTTCAGCTAAATGTGTACTGAATATCAACTTTCTTAGTAGTTTGTAAGTACCTTAAATATTTTAGGGCACACTTTAGAGAGAGAGATGTACAACTGTCCTCTTTTTCAGACTTCTAGTAATCATGTCACAGTAAACTGTAGTTAGCAGTTTGCCATGAACGTGTCTCTCTGTGCTATTGTTCCCCTCCCTTTTTGCACCGGGAGGTAACAAAGCACGGTTCCTGGCCTAATATTACATCTGAACCAGAGGCCGTGGTTTGTTTTGTATGAAGTGAAAGGCTAAGTCAAGGATCATGGTTTGTCTCCTCCCAGTATAAGTAGATGAGCAAGGAAAAATGAAATAGGATATATTTGCTTGTGCATGGTAAGCCACGCTGTGTGTTTTGAGCTGTGTTTATCAGATTTATCTCTCTTGCTGGTGTGGAAATAATATAATATCATTCTGGGCTACATTTCATGTTCCCTCCCATCACCTTAAGAGTGACAGATTAGGCAAATGTCCCATTTTTTATAGTTTTCTAATAATGAGGATTATGTGGACCCTTGTATTTTTGGAACTCACTGAGGGAGTCAGTGAAAGAATTTTATTTTCAGCCCTGAAGAGAGGTTGCTCTTGGAAAATGTGTCAGACAAGGTAGAAGCATGTCAGTCATGGGAGGGTGCTTTTAGCTTACCTTGAACATAGACTGCATATTCACATATCCCACGGGTCTCTTGGAGTTGCTCTTTTATAAGAATCTGAACCACAAAGTAAAGAAGTTATGTTCCAATAAAAATATTTTCTTTTTTTGGATAAGGGGCAGAATGTTGTCAACTCTACCCTTTAATAAGTTAGCCTCAACATTAAGCCAGTATTTGTTAATGAAAGGTACCTAAAAGATCAGGGGTGTGGAACCTGTGGCCAGCCAACATTGTCAAGGGTCAAGAAGATGAAATTTGTAGCCTAGCAGTATCTGGAGGGCCACAAATTCCCAGTCTCTGTGCTAGAAGGGGGAAAATGCCTAGAATTTTCTCCTTTTTTCAGAGCAAGGAAATGCCTGTTGAAACCACTACCTCTCGTGCTGGTAATTTGTCCTTCCTGGAAAAGAGCCTCCTGAAGTCAAATTATCCAAGAGCAGGAGCTTTTTGATGGCTTTGACATTGGCAAGGCTTTCAATTTCATTTAATGGCACTATAAAAAACCCTTCTGCATTAAAAAATGTTAACATTAAGGCAACGACCTCTGAAGAGGTAACATTAGGACAAGTGAAACTCCTGCCACCCAAGTACTTGTGGAATAGATTGCTGTTATCCATCTATTGGAAAATTAAGTGCCTGCCTTGATGGTCCTTAGAAGTGCACACTCTCTTTTCACAGCACCAAGAGGAAATTATTTTTCAAAAATAGCCAAAGGTTCCCAAAGATTCCTGTATTCACTACAAAGAGAAAACTGCACCTCTAGGAACCAGTGTGACATAATGGTTAGAGTAGGGCGGTCCAAATTTTCATACCAAGTGGGCCACAAGCAGTGGAGGGCAAGAGAGGCACTGATTTCTGAGAGCCCCCACAACAGGCTCCCTCATCGGGCTGAGCTCCTGCCGCCTTCCAGAGCCTCAGGAAGGCAAGCCGTGCCCAGACCGGGCCTCCTTCTCCTTGTGGCCAGCAAAGGGACGCCCATGGGTGCCCCACCCCTGGGCTGGCTGAGAGGCCGAGGTGCCCAACAAAAAGAGGAGTTGCAGCAATAGGCCGCCACCACAACCACAACGGGGGGGGGGGCATGGCCAGCAGGCAACAGCGGGTCATGCAAGAGCAGCCCTGAACTCTCCCAGCACAGGTGCCAGCCAGTGTGCCCCCCACTGCCCCCCCAGGCTGGCCAAGAGAGGGGCACCAAGCCATAAAGACAGTTGGCCACCAGCAGAGACAGCAACACCAGCCATGTGCCTCCCAGGCTCCATTCTTGGGGTCCCGGCTGCAGCAGATGGGGCTCCCACTGCTCCGAACTCCAGAGTAAGCATGCATAGGATCACCAGCAGAGGCCCGATGACAGTGAGGAAGGACCGAGTGGGGAGATCTAGGAGGCTGAGATTTATTCAAAAGGAGAAAGTGGCTAGCTGCATTCATGACTCTGACAAGTTTTGGTAAAGGGATAGCAGTTCCTAAGGATGGAACATATTAACATGCTGTCATGCTCTTATTTGATTTTGAAGCAACCAACAAAATGCAAAACAAAAATTCAGTTAATTCAGTTAACAGGAGGCTTTTGGGAACAGAAAGAATAATAACCCTTACTAGGATTGTTCCAAACCCGGGGTATGCAAACCCACTTCAAATCATGGTTTGGAAGCAATCTTGATTAGTGCAAACCATGGTTACCTCTGATTCGGGTTTAATAAGAAACTCTGGCTATAATGAACCAGAGAAGGGTGGAGGAACCTGTACAAGGAGCCCTTGCTATATTCCCTATCTTTAAATCTTGTTTTGGAAGTGTTCCAAGAAGAACCGAAGTCCTTCTCCAAAGCAAAAGCCTGGGTACTTCTCTGAAGTTATCCTTAAAAGGCACTGATGGCAAAGCTATAGCCCTACAGATGCTGGTTTGCAATTGTGATAATATCTGGTCATTGGCTGGGGCTGATGGAAAACGGAGCTCAGCAACATCTAGAGATCCACAGGTTCCCCACCTCTGATTTAAAGTGCAAAAAAGTCAGGGTATATCATATTCCTACCTTACACGAATCATAGTCTTTGCGAATGTAGTACAAGTGGATCAGCCAATTCCTACTCTCCAGACTGCGCAGTTCTGGCACTGTGCAAAAAGGCAGCAAAACAAACATTTAGAGATCTAGTAGATGATGGCTTTTGAGACCCAGTTTTTGTACTTCACCCAGAGAGAAGCTGAACCTTGGACCAGACCTGCTACATGAGGTTCTTGGCTGTTCATGCTCCAATGAAGCAGAAAACAGCAGGAGGCAGCGACAAAGACGTAAGCAGGGAAGTAAACATCATACTAAGCATTATTACTGCAGCGGAGCCATGAAAGGTGGGCACAAGAATAAAGGATGGCTGATCATTACCCATTCACTAAATATTTATATCCTATGTTTCCATCTCATTTCCTAGTGGTACAAAGCAGCTGACTATCACCTTGTGTTAAAAATAAAGGCAAGACCAGCAAGCAAGATCACCCTTAAAAAAGCCACGAAAGAACACTAAAAAACCCTGACAGGCCACCGGAAAAAAGACGTTTTCATTTGGTACTGGAAAGAGCCTCGTGGATCTTCCAGGACAGGGATTTACGCAACCTGGATGCTGCCACAAAGCAGCAACTGCACCTCTGACAGTAGGTGATGGAGCAAGATTTCTCTAGTTGATCTGAGTGGATAAGCAAGATCATTTGGAATTGTACTTTAAATATACAAATCTGAAGTCAGAGCTTTAGAGGCAATAACCCAATGGAACCCAGAACTTGTTCTACTTGTGAGTAGACCTGGGGCAACTGCTTGGCTATTGCAAGATAGACTTTGGGATAGAGCCAGTGTTGCAACTCTTATCCTCTCGTTGCATAGTTACTGCAGAGAAATCAGTGTTTAAGCTCTAAAGAAGGACCGAGTCACAATGCAATCAATGGCAAGAGTGGACACTGCTTTTGCTGATACTATTTGAAGTTTTCAGAACAAGCCGCTGTTCACATCAAATGGGCACGAGTTGCAGTTCATCAAATTCATTTCTGCATCTGAAATTATGGCAACCCAAAGGTAACCATAGCAACCAATAGCAAAATCCAATGTCTGCAAGCCAGTATCACGATGGAGAAGCCTAGCAGGAAACAAAGACAAAAGACGGCCAGAGCAAGAGCGCCGAGTTGGTGGTGAAGTAGGGAGTGAGAATTTGAGAGAAAGCACCTCAGAAGGGAATAGGTAAAGGTAAAGGGACCCCTGACCGTTAGAACCAGTCATGGACGACTTTGCGGTTGAGGCGCTCATCTCACTTTACTGGGCGAGGGAGCCGACGTACAGCTTCTGGGTCATGTGGCCAGCATGACTAAGCCGCTTCTGGCGAACCAGAGCAGCGCAAGGAAACGCCATTTATCTTCCCGCTGGAGCGATACCTATTTATCTACTTGCACTTCATGCTTTCGAACTGCTAGGTTGGCAGGAGCAGGGACCAAGCAACAGGAGCTCACCCTGTCGCGGGGATTCGAACCGCCGACCTTCTGATCGGCAAGCCCTAGGCTCTGTGGTTTAACCCACAGCACCACCCATGTCCCCCATTCTAATAATAAGAGCAAAGCCCTCTTTAAGTTTGCCCAGCTCAGACTTAGGCTTGTATCCTGTCTCTAGCATGCCCTCTCTTCAAGGTAAAGAGACTTTGGTTTGGAGAGATGGGAATCTTCATGGAAGACTGAATCAAGTTTTCTTTTTAGTGTTCCAACCGAACTGAAAAACACACCTTTCGTCAAGTGTTTGATTGAAACACATAAATAGCTCACTTTATTTTTAAAGCAGATAGGAGGGGCAAGTGCCCTTCTTTTGGTGAAGCGCTACAGGCAGCCTATGACATAGCATACTTACAGTCAGCCAGATATGTGGGCAGACATTTTTAATAACTTCACCACAGGTAGGGGACACCAGTGGAAGCCATGTGCAGTTACTGTGACATAAGCTACCTGAAGGGGAGTCAGTGCCAAAGCATCATCTCTCTGGACCCAAACTTGTTACCAGGCCCCCCTGATCCCTCTCCAGTTTTGAAATCCTAGAAGATAGATAGGCGTCCTTTAGATTATTCAAGTTCCTTTTGCTTAAGCTCACAGCATTTCTGGCTGTCTGATTTGGATTTATAACCTGGCATGCCAAGTGTGACATGTATGTACATTTGTTATATGAGTGCACTAGCTTTTTAGACATTGTTCCCTATCCCTGAGATTCAGTGCCTGATCTCCTCTGCCCACTGGAAACTACGACCTCACTCATTTGCTCACATCTGATCTAGGGCCTGTAAATCACATCAGCAGAGCTGGCTCCTGCTGTCCCGGAGAGCTCATTGTTCCTGGTTATGCTGGTGCTTGTCCTGTCCTCCTGTTGCCACACCCTGTTAGCTCTTCCTGCTTGTGCATGAAAAATACCTGCAGGAACTCCAGGACTTCTAATGATTGAGAGAGGATGTTGCACAGGCAGGCACACTTCTTTCCAGTTAAGGAATTACAAGTCCTACACTTTCCCATACAATAACACATTCTCTCTCTGAGGGTCCTAGCCAGCAGCTCAATGGTCAGAGTTTTGCTTTTTCTGTTCTAACACTGTTTCTGGTTGGCTCCAGTAAACCGAACAGCATCTGGGCACACTGTATGTAGTTCCTAGGAAATAAGTCTGTATAAACAGCCTCAAGAATGACAAAATAATTCCCCCTCCTATCATAATAGGCTTGCCGCTCTGCTGCCTCACATCCTGAACTTCAGTGACACATACTTGTTTCTGTCTTCCCCTCCTCCCGCCCCCCCCCCGCCCAATTCTTGGGCCGTGAGAAAATTCAAATTCACGCATGCATTAGATTATGTCAGGGATTGTTCTAAGCACAAAGTATTAACAGCTAGCAGGGAGTGCCTGGCACTGCCCAAGAATTAAAAGAAACCAAAACATACTATGGTTTTTAAATGTAGTGTAATTTTTGAGTTTCGACCTTTCATGCCAAGAATAAGTGAGGTCATGCCAAAGTCATGCTTTGGTCCATTCTTTCACCTCTGGTGGACATGCCCGAGGGTGAAGGCTTTTTGGGAAATGATTTATAATGAGTTGAAAAAGGTATATAAGTATACCTTTCATAAGAAACCAGAGGCCTTCCTCCTGGGCATTGTGGACCAGAGAGTACTAAAGAAAGATAGAACTTTCTTTTTATATGCAACGACAGCAGCAAGAATCCTTATAGCTAAATATTGGAAGGCACAGGAGTTACCCACGCTGGAAGAGTGGCATACGCAACTGATGGACTACATGGAATTAGCCGAAATGACTGGCAGAATCCGAGACCTGGGAGAAGAGGCAGTGGAAGAGGACTGGAAAAAATTTAAGGACTACCTACAAAAACACTACAAGTTATATGAATGTTGAGAATTTGCTAAGTTTTTGGGAAAAACATGCTTCAGTATTGAGATTTGAGAATGATGGAAACTAAGTTATGACTGTGAAAACTTTAAATTTTAGAATATATAATTAGAAGAAAGTACAAAAACATATGAAACAAGGTTGCAATTTGCTGTTTATTTTTATTGTAAAGAAAGCAGGGACGGAAGATCTGGGGAAGTCTAGTTGATTATGAAAAAAGATCTGGAAAAGTGAATTTTCTTGTATACAATCTCTTCTTCTTTTTTTCTGTAAAACCGCTTTTGTTGTGTTATTGATGATGTATCTTGACCTTGGAAAAAAAGCAATAAAAAATATTATTAAAAAAAAAAAAACAAAGTCATGCTTTGGTCCACCACTTTGATTCAAAATAATGTCTGGTGTCCAAACAATGGCAAAGACGGCCAGTCTGCCATCTCGGGAACCTTTGTGCCAAGTTTGGCAGCGATATCTCAGGAGGTGGCCAAACCTATACCAAAGAAGCAGGCAGGGCCATGCCAAAGTCACATTTTGGTCTGCCATCTTGATTCAAAATGGTGGCTGGTGTCCCAGCATCAAGGAGAACTGCCGCTCCCACCTTGGCCACCCTCCTGCTGAATTTGGCAATGATATCTCAAGAAGCATCCAAACCTATAGAGAACAGATAGACAAGCAGACAAACTACTTTCCAAAACAAATAGTAGGTAACACCCAAAACCTCCAATTTTTAATAACAGTAATGTTTGCTTTCCCATTTCTGCTACCAGGGAAGGCAGTTCCAGATGTGGGGTTTGGTATTTGTGGGGCTTTATTTGTTTTGCCTCGTTTACTGCCAACCTGTGGGGAATAAATCTGTGACTGTTTCCATTTTTTGCAGCTTTAGAATTATCCAGGCCAGGGGATTTATAATTCCTCTTTAAAAGAAGCAAGGGAAACAGCGGTAACAGGGGCCTAAAGAAACAATGGCAACAGAAGAGCAAGGAGTAAGGATTCTGGCACAAAATGAAAGGCAGTACGCTAGCATGAATAAGTCTTACATCCAGTCAGCTGCCATCGCTTCCCTTTAGCAAGGATCAGAGAGGAGGATTAAAACGTATGCATGAGCCCTAGGAGACCTTCTAACATTTCTCTTTACAGGCCAGTGGTTTAAAATCCCTTAGCCACGATGTGTAAGATGTATTTTACAAGAGATTCTGTTTTCACCTAGGATTCCAGAGATGTGATCACACCCGCAACAGGAGAAGTGAAGGGTTTGCTTAAAGATGTTAAACAAAAGAATAGTGGCCGGCATCTACAAATATCCATGATCCTAAAGGCTGAGAATAATCACAGATGAAGCATGACAAACTCATCTAACCACAAAGGTGTCTTACTACACTGCGCACACAGACTCAAAAGCACATGCAGGTGATAAGCCCATCTCCTGGCACACACACACAACAGAAAGCTTTAAAATCTCTCTACTCCCCAAGACACAGCTGTTGTCTCATTGCTTAGTGCTTCTTTTCCCTTTGCTCACTTTTGCAAACAGCCACTGGAACCAACTTTAAATCAAACAATAAACCTGTATGGCTCACAGTTATTTACAGTCAACTGGGTTTAATAAAACCCGTCATATACAATTCTGATGCTTGCAACAAAGCTATAATTCATCTCACTATTCTATATTAATAGTCCCCATACACACAAAAGGAAAAAATTGGATTGAAATTGAAAAAATAAGAACAGCGGTTTAAATATAGAACAGCCATTCCTGGCTCCAGATCTCCCCCTAGTGGAAAATGGACTATTTGACAAGTTTTTACCTCCCTTGTTTCTAGATTCCTTTAAACTAACCAAGAGGAAAAATGGGAAGCAAGATGCTATTATAATTAGCATGCCTAAAAACGTGTTTGTCTGATGGCTGATCACAACAGTGCAGGTTAACTGAGACTGAGCAAGTCACAAGTCCTCACTGATGCCCAGTCTTTGCACACTACTCTGTAAGAATGATGAGGGTATTTGCTGGCAATATCAGGAAGCTTTTTTATAGTTCTGCATTGTGGAGGCTGAGCTACACACCAGTTTACAGAGATAGAGGTATCCTGTTTCCTTCAGAGACCCAGACAATGATCCCTGTAAAAAAAAAAAAAAAGGAGGCCAAACAGGCAGTTTGTCTCATAGTGGCTTGTGAAAACCATGGAACAACAGCAACCACCACCTTGATCTAGGAGACTGGGGCCAAGTGCTGGTCTTACTGGGTTTTCTGCTCCCTCCTCTATTTCTATGGGGAGATTGGGAGGGGGGGGGCATCCTCCCATGCAGACAGAAGATTATCAGCACTGCAAGGGCTCCAACTAACATACTGAATGTGTAAGGAGAAAGGGGGGGGGAGACCAGAGTCGATATGGAGTTGAGGAGGCCAAGCCCTAAACAGTGAACTTCTAATCCAGGCATCCCCAAACTCAGCCCTCTAGATGCTTTTGGACTACAACTCCCATCATCCCTAGCTAACAGGACCAGTGGTCAGGGATGATGGGAGCTGTAGTCCCAAAACATCTGGAGGGCCGAGTTTGGGGATGCCTGTATCTGTCTACTATTCTTTAACATTCATAAGCTCTTTCTTTTCAGTACTGTTGGAATCTTTTTAAACTTATTTTTTAAATTTAATATTGAACCAGCATGCCCCATCACTTCAAAAATATTTCCAGGTTCCCTGATAGCAGGGACAGGCCCTGTTTTCTGGTATTTGTCTCTGGCAAACCAGTATCCCTGTTATGTCTTTGGGGAATGCTGTGTTAAAAAACAACTATAAGAGCCAGTTGCCAGTTGTCAGGATTCAGTTCACTTGCCAGGGTTGCAAAAAGTTATGTGTCTGTGTGGATAAGGTACGGATCCAGCATGCATAAACGCATGAGGGTGGCCAGTTCACATACACCACAGCTGCCAAAGTATATTTCCAATGGCTGATAACTGACCATAGGGCAAGTGTGCTTTTCTAGGCTCGCTTTAATCAAAGAACAGTCACGCTCCAGCCTTCTGAATCCATGGGAGGCTATTTCGGACTAAATTGACAAAACATTCAACAGGTAGAATAGAATCATTGGCCATGTATAATTGCTTTAAAGCTCTAAATGGCCTCAGTCCAATATACCTGAAGAAGCGTCTCCACCCCCACGTAATAGTCGCACACACACCCTTTTTAAAAGGAAAAATCAGCACAAAAAATGTGACCATTACGTGGTGAAATGCGGTATTAATACTGCTGTATGGTGCCCAAATTATTTTATGTGACTGTGATATACACACATATATTTCATGTTATAGAAAGATGTTGGCTGTGGGAGCCACTGCTAAAAGCAACACTAGAAATGTATCTGTGCTCATAGCAAACAAAGTATTCCTCATGAAAAACATCTATCTGTTTCGTGCTCATCCAGCAATAAATTCAATCTTTTCTTGGCCTTAGTCCATTTCCCACTATTTTGTGTCTATTTCACCACAAGAAAATCCAAATGACTTAATTCCATTTAGTGTCCTGCTCTCCACAATAAAATGCCTGTAATGAATCTGGCCCAAAACCTGGACTGAACACCAGAACAAATAATTCAGGAGATGTTTCTTCTATAAACTTAATGAACAGTGCTTAATGCAAAGAGCATTTCCTTACAAAGAAAGAAAATAAATTGGAGTCCTGCTCCACACGACCAGCCGTATACAAAGAGAGAAATGCCTTCCCCAGTATGATACTATCACTAACTACAAGATGATTTGATTGGAATGCTCAGGGAGAGGAAATGGGTATGACTGGAGCTAGACATTTTTAATTCAAAACCAGGAAAGCATTTTAGAAAATATCCAATTCATTTACAATGAAGTAGTAAGATTAATATCTTGACACAGCATGATTATTATTAACCCCATGCTGCTTCAAGAAGCAGAGCTCCTTTTATTCAAACACTGTTTGATTCTGGGTGGGGAGAAACTATTTCGAGTGTATTCTAGATTTTGAGGCACAAACAAAGGAAACTGGTTTTTCAGAGAAGGTCTACCCAGGAGGTAAAGTAAGTGTGTGGGGGTGCAGAGATGAAGGTTTCCCCTGTGAATGTGTTAGTCCCTGAATATTGCCTGGCAGGTAGCAAGGCTCTGAAGGGTTTACTTCCTTCAAGGACTTTCACTCGGAAAGGACTTCAAGGTTCAAGATAATTTGTACAACATAAAATTATCTAATCATTTGTTAAGTGTTTTCTAGCTACACCATTAAGAGTATGTATTGTTGAAGAATCCTGTTGGAAATTAAATGGGAGCAGAAATTGCCCTAATCTGAATGTTCGTCTGCAATCCAGAATATGGGCAGTATTTGTTGTCAACCCTTTTAGTCCACAAATGGGGACATAAATAATTATACGATTTTCTGCATTGTTTTTGATCTTTCCCTTCCACTGAAATCAATTACATATTTACGCAGATAGTGAGATGAATAATGTAGGTTTCACCAGAAGCCAAACTGTAGCGGATGGGATGGAACTTGCTATCTCCTCATGACAAGCCTTATTCTCTCCATTCCGTTACCTTTTCCTCTTCTGCTTTTGGTGCCTCTGGTTATTATGTTTTTAATGGAAAGTAGTGTTTCACTGTTGTGTTCATCTACCATAGACACATTGCTAATTTCTTGGAAGGATGTCCAGGATGGCTCCCACACCAGAGCCCCTTAGCGCTATTGAGATATTACTTTTTCATATTTAGCTGGAAATGGAATTGAAACAGAGGCGCCAAACTTGAGCATGAGCTTTTCAACCTAGCTATGTCCTTTTCCAGAAGTGCCATATGGAATTTAATATACAGTAGTGCTATATTACCCAGCAGTGCCCTACCCCAAGGCATAGATCATTCTGCAATGTTTAGTCACAAAGGTCCTTTGCAACATTAATTAAAAGTTTCCTGTTTGCAGTTCTTCCTGTTTTATGCTTCTTATTGATTTCAGCTGTAATGATGAATTGCCTTTTGAATGGTCCCACTCTCAGTCCCAGTTTCTGTTCCTGCTGGCTAGTACATTTTTGTGACGTTATTTTGAAGGCTGCTGAACCGTATCAGTCACACCATTTTCTGTTTCTGCAGTTATGCTGTACAGTTCTGCAAAAGCAGGGTCAGCCTTTCCACCCCATCTGGTTTAAATTATTTAAAAGTGAGGAAGTTTATTCTTAACTCTGACTTGCCTTTGCCTTTCCCTCAGAGGAAATTCCAGAAAGAGGGCTTAGTTTTGCTCCTCTTTGCCTGCTTAGGAATGAGAGTGAATAGTACACAAGTGAAATGCTATGCTTCAGAATAATGCTAAGGAAAAGGATGCAAGGACTTCAGTGGATATGGGGGGGGGGTCAAGATGCACTCAAAAGTGGACTAGTAATATAAAGCTGATCCCAAGGACAAACATTAGGTACAAAATGCAGGATTCATATTCACGAGATAACTAGTTGGATAGGACATTGCTTAGAAAAACAGACATTACAGTGAGTAACAAAAGAATTCTCCACTCCTCTACCCAGCTGATATGCTAGGTACCATGCATAACACCACTGGCACATATCTGTAGTAATCCTCAGAGAGCCAATGCATACAGAACCTGGACACATAGAAGTTACTTGAAAAATGTGGCTATGTGTCAGTTTCCTGATATTTGTACTTATTGGTGCCCCACTGAGGAACAAATGGATGGGGGGAAGTGATGCAGGGGTGAGAATGTTCATCTCCTCCCCACCCAGTTTTGCCTGCTTTAAGCCCCCTCCCCCTGCTATACAGCGAGTGCAAGTGGCTGGGGAAACCCAGCCAGATGGGTGGGGTATAAATAAATTATTATTATTATTAATGAGAAAGCAGACTGATTATGACACAAATCCGATGGTAGCATGATAGTTTGGCCCACAGGTATCCATTGGTGGTATCCATGATAGTTTGGCCCACAGGTATCCATTTGTCACTGCTAAGTGGTACCAATATCAAATGAAAGACTGATAGATCATTTTCAAGATCACAATGATATATGGAAATGTCTCTCCACACCAACCTGTAAATCACAGGGTGTGGGTGGGTGGGTGGGTGTAGAATGGATCTGATTCACTAGGTTGGGTCAAAGCAATTCAGTAACTGCAAAAGGACAGCTCCGTTATTTCACAAAGCGTTTTACTCATGAAATAGATAAGCTAGAACAAACCTCTTGCTGAGCGAGCTCTTGGAGGTTCTTTGGATGCTGGGAAGGATGCAGGCTGAAATAATACAAAAAAGGGCATTAAAACTGTGTCAAAATGAATAACACAGGACTATCCAGAGATGACGCTAATAATTGTGGACTATGACAGGGATGGCTCTCCAGATCTTGTTGGATTCCAACTTCCATCAGCCCCAGTCCTTGTGGCCACTAGTACAGGTAAGATACATATACATTAATAAAGGAAATAGCACATTATCAAAGATCTTGTTCATACGGAGGTGATAAACTTGCAACATACAACTTCAGAATATACACATCACAACAAAAAAGCAAACCCTGACACGGTTTCTACATGCAGGGGTTTTAATTTTTATTTTGCATTGGAGGAACTTTCAGTCATGTGAGCTCCCACTGCTCACAGCCTAGATACAGATTCACCACCACAGTGAGAACAAGGCCTAAATCTATAAAGCATTACTTCTACATTTATTAGAACTGAGAAGCAAAATCGCCTCTCTAGAAAAGCCTAATTGCCAGGCTGACTGAAAAATTCAACCATGTGATCAATAAAACAGTTTTCTAGGGACAGAAGCAGAGAGTCAAGCAAAGGGAAGGTTTCTTTGGGCTGCAGAAGTTAATGGGGAACTTTGTTTAATAGAAGCTTTCAAATCTGTTTTTTTAAAGCCTGTAATATCATATCATAGTATCTTTTTTAAGAAGCATTTACTTAATGTAACTTTTCAAGAAGCTCATGCTTTGAAGAAATTTCTGCAGGGGTTGAACATCTTGTATATCAGGGTATGCCTTGTTTATGCTAGGTGTGTAGTAAAAGCTACAAAAATAATTTAGCCACAAGGGATGGAATGGCCAGAAATGGCCCCACTTTATCTTTTGCCACAGAAAATTAAGAGAAAACGCCAAATGTTTGAGACATAGCTATCCCTTCTCTCCCCCCCCCCCAATTTCCTTCCAAATCCTGTAATTTTCAATGGGAAAATACTGGGAGAGGGATCAAAAAAAATATAAGCCCCCAGTGACACAATGGGTCAATGGGTCTGGTTGTTAACCAGAAGGTTGGTGGTTCAAGCCCACCCAGGGATGGCTGTGGGCAAGATTCCTGCACTGCAAAGGGTTGGACTAGATGACCCTCAAGGTCCCTTCCAACTTTACAATTCTATGATTTTGCACCAGTCTTTCTGTAACACTCCACTTCTCATTTTCCCAATTTTATTTACAGTATCCTGCTTTTGGTACAATATTATTTAGTTCCAAGAATAACCTAAATGGAAAAGAGCATGGGAGTGTTCTGGTGGGTCCATCCACTCCAACATCCTATTTCCTACAGTGGCCACACAGATGCTTCTGAAGAGCTTATCTATCTATCTATCTATCTATCTATCTATCTATCTATCATTCACTTACTTACTTACTACCTTAAGTAAAGGTAAAGGTACCCCTGCCCGTGCGGGCCAGTCTTGACAGACTCTAGGGTTGTGCGCCCATCTCACTCAAGAGGCCGGGGGCCAGCGCTGTCCGGAGACACTTCCGGGTCACGTGGCCAGCGTGACATCGCTGCTCTGGCGAGCCAGAGCCGCACACGGAAACGCTGTTTACCTTCCCGCTAGTAAGCGGTCCCTATTTATCTATTTGCACCCGTGGGTGCTTTCGAACTGCTAGGTTGGCAGGCGCTGGGGCCGAACAACGGGAACGCACCCCGCCGCGGGGATTCGAACCGCCGACCTTTCGATCAGCAAGCCTTAGGCGCTGAGGCTTTTACCCACAGCGCCACCCGCATCCCCACTTACTACCTTACTTACTTACAAAATCAATACAAACCAAAATGACCCTGCCCTCTGGCTTACAATCTAAAAAGACACCACACACAAAAAGAAAATATGATTGGGAGGGAGTAAGAAATGAGGAAACACAAGTACTTAGTTCCAGGGCTAGCTCAAGACATTTTGGCAGCTGAGGCAAAAAACAAAATGATGCCCCCCTCTCTGCCAGGGAATAAGGAGTGAGCGCAGATCTATATCAGGAACAAGGGGGTGTAAATAAATATATGCATTGGGATTTGCTGCCCCTGTGAATCTTTCTGCCCAAGGTGGCCCCCTCACTTTGCTAGGTGGGCCAGTCCTGACTAGTTCTAAGATGAAGGTTGAGCAGCTGAGATGGAAACAGTAGAGCCAAACATTGCTGGTCTCTCAACTGCACCACCAATGGGGAGAGAGACTGCTTCCCTTTTCTTCCACTTCTGCGTCTGATGGAATGACTGCTGCCATGTTCACACTTGGTGGAGAGAGAAGTCTTGCTTCTCAGCAGAGCTGACAACAAAACAGCCACCCTCCTCACTCCAGCCTCCAATTTCCCCTAGCATCTAGTATTCTAATGTATACTGCTGCTGAACATAAAGGTACCATTTGCCATAACAGTTAATAGCAGGTGAATTTGTCTAGTCCCCTTTTAAGCTATCTAAGCTGGTGCCCACTCACCCCCATCTAATCTTGAAGCAGCAAGTTCCATACATTTATTATGCTCTGTATGCAATACTACCCCCCTATGACTGTTCTGAATTTTCACAGGTTGATCCCCGAAAAAAGGGGGGCATTCTCTCTATTCACATTAAACACGTTTACTTTTCTCAATCTCTGACATGTCACCACTTTTTTTAAAAAAACTTTCTATAAAGCCCCAAATGGTTCAGTTTTTTCTTAAAGACCTAACAGATGCAGCTTATGCTCTGTTATCAACAAAGGAGACAGAAAGCCACCACAAAGCTGCTGACTGCATTATATCTATTATTAGTAACAGAATTGGATTACCGGTAATTCCACTTACTTACACCTGCCATCCTGCTGCTGCTATTGATTTAATAATAATAATAATAATAATAATAATAATAATAATAATAATTTTTATTTATACCCCGCCCTCCCCAGCCAAGGCCGGGCTCAGAGCGGCTTACAAGCAATAATAAAAACAAGTTAAATGATTACAAATTAAAAACAAAATTAAAAATACAACATTAAAATATTGAAACATTAAAATATTAAAATGTAGCCTCATCGCAGGAGGAGAAGGAAAAGAAAAAAGAAAGAGAGGGAGGGAATCAAATTGGCTCCAAGCCAAAGGCCAGGCGGAACAACTCTGTCTTACAGGCCCTGCGGAAAGAAATCAGATCCTGCAGGGCCCTGGTCTCATGAGGCAGAGCGTTCCACCAGACCTGAGCCAGAGTTGAAAAGGCCCTGGCTCTGGTTGAAGCCAATCAAATTTCCTTAGGGCCCGGGACCACTAGGGTGTTGCTATTTATGGACCTTGAGGCTCTCCGTGGGGCATACCGGGAGAGGCAGTCCCGTAGGTATGAGGGTCCTAGGCCGTGAGGGGCTTTAAAGGTCAAAAGCAGCACCTTAAATCTGATCCTGTACTCCACCGGGAGCCAGTGCAGCTTGAAAAGCACTGGGTGAATATGCTCCCATGGCAGAGACCCCGTGAGGAGCCTCGCTGCAGCATTCTGCACCTGCTGGAGTTTCTGGGACAGCTTCAAGGGCAGCCCCGCGTAGAGCGAATTTCAGTAGTCAAGCCTGGAGATGATCACTGTGGCCAGGTCGGGGCGGGAAAGGTAAGGGACCAACTGCTTGATGCGGCGAAGGTGGAAAAATGTCGCCTTGGCTGTTGCTGTAACTTGCGCCTCCATGGAAAGGGAGGCGTCAAGGATTACACCCAAACTCTTAACGGAAGGCAATGGCACTAATTGGGCCCCCGCAAGAGAAGGGAGTTGGTCCCTCATCCCCATGCCATCCCGACCTAGCCATAGGACCTCTGTCTTCGAAGGATTTAGTTTCAATCGGCTCCCACGAAACCATCCAGCCACAGCTTCCAAGCATCTCGTCAGTGCGTTCGGGGCCGAGTCGGTGTGGCCATCCATCAGCAGATAGAGCTGAGTGTCATCAGCATATTGGTGACAACCCAGCCCAAAGCTCCGGATAATCTGGGCAAGGGGGCGCATAAAGATGTTAAAAAGCATTGGGGAGAGGATTGCGCCCTGCGGCACTCCACACACCAAGGAGTGGCGCGACGACATTTCCCTCCCTAGTGCCACCCTCTGTCCCCGACCAGAGATAAAAGAGCACAGCCAGTTACGGGCTATGCCCTGTATCCCCACGTCTGCGAGGCGGTGGTCCAGAAGATCATGATCGACCATGTCAAAGGCTGCTGACAAATCTAAAAGGATCACCAGTCCTGACCCGCGTCGATCCAGCTGTCTACGGAGATCGTCTGTTAGGGCAACCAGAGCCGTCTCGGTCCCAAAACCAGGACGGAAACCGGACTGAAATGGATCTAAAGCCGATGTTTCCTCCAGAAACCTACCAAGCTGTTCAGCAACCGCTCTCTCAATTACCTTACCCAGATATGGAAGATTTGAAACTGGGCGGTAATTGGATAGGTCTAAGGGATCTAATGAAGTTTTCTTTAAGAGTGGACATACCACTGCTTCCTTCAGTTCCCCTGGGAATGTCCCCGTGTCAAGGGACAAATTGATAATTTCAACCAGGGGGGTCCACGCAACATCTGGACACTCCCTAATCAGCCAAGACGGGCACGGATCAAGGAGGCAGGTGGTGGGCCTACCAACTTGGAGGAATCTATCCACATCAGCAGGGGTATTCGATCGAAATGGTCCAACACTGGACCTGAAGTCAGTCGAGGGGCCTCCAGTTCAGTCACTGTATCTAAATTGGCAGGGAGGTCACGGCGGAGCAACAGGACTTTCTCCGCAAAAAAGCTCGTGAATGCCTCACAGTTGTGGTTGTCCTCCTAAGGACGTTATTAATCTAATTATTCTAAAAAGTTGTGCCGGGCGAGAGCTAGCGGATGCAATGGAAGCTGCAAAGTAAGATTTCTTAGCAGCTTTCATAGCCATCTCATAGGCTTTCATAAGCGTCCTATAAGATGTTCTTGAGGCTCCATCACGAGTCCGTCGCCATACTCGCTCTAGCCGTCTGAGATCCCGCTTCATTTTCCGGAGCTCCTCAGTAAACCAAGGGGCCCGGTTTC